GTTCTTTTTAGAATAGGATCATTACCTCGTAGTACAGTAACGTCTGGGTATCGTCTCGAAAATTTTGGATGTGGTATAGTCCTCGCCACTCAGTTCCAAGATCATTCTTTTCTGGCGTCGACGATCCCGGTAGACGATACGAAATGAGACCATGGCTAGGTTCGTTATCGTGAGCAGCCTTAGAACTTAAGTTCTATGAGAAAATCATTGTAATGTGCTAAATAATTGATTTGATTTTTAACCGCAATCAAGACAAAATGAATAGAATTATCCAATTAACGCTGATCATTACTTCGCTCATTCATTAGCGGCATTACTTATTGCAGGCAGCTGCAGTGATAAAATCACAGATGTTCGATGATACCCGATGATCTCATATGGTAGGAAAAACTCGAAGTAATTGCCCAGTTTATGATAATGGAGTGTTTCCATGGATAAATATAGGAAAACGATCTATGTGAGGAAAATTGAATTTGTCAGCCTCACGCTCACGCCATTGAATATGATTTTCCTCTTAACAATTATGTCTATTAAAAGGAAAATAGCATAATGTGATTGACGGATTACCAATTGTACACTGGCAATTAATTATGTTGAAAATTAATCCAATAAGATGTGATGGATAATATGGCCACTGAATTTAACTTCAAATTCTGAGTAAAAAATTTCCGGTGAAAGAGACAAAAATTATTCATTTAGTTTTGATTCGATGCATAATTCAAGATTTGCAGGAAAAAGAGATGATTGTAATCAGATGAATATTTACGCATACTTATTCATGCATCTGGTTTTGATTAATTCTCTGAATAAATTAGAATTAGATGAATATTTAAGTACAGATATTTATTACCTTACACCCAGTTGAGAAACATCAGTGTGGAACATGGATCAGGATCGATATGAACATCGAGCATATTTAGAAGTCCTTGGGACAGACGCTTAGTTACAGAAGTGAATTGGAGTTAAAATAATTTTATTGATGCCATCATGAAAAATTCTAAAATATCCATTTTACACTACTCAGCAGGAAGCACTGAGTCCATGGTAACATTCATTCCATACAGTGTTTACTGTTAACAAATTTTCACTGAAATTTCCGGTAAGAGTCTTGGAAATTTCTAACAAGTAATATTTTCATTGAAATTTCAAGGAATTTTGTCATTGAAAATTTATAATTTCATGGAAAAATCCGTGGGAGCTGTAAATTTCAGTTTAATTATTTGGGAGAAACTAATAAAAAATCAGGAAAATTCTGAGAAATCTCTCCCTCAGTTGATGATTTGTCTTAATTTTCNACTGTCAATTTCAGTTTAATTATTTGGAAGAAACTAATAAAAAATCAGGAAAATTCTGAGAAATCTCTCCCTCAGTTGATGATTTGTCTTAATTTTCAGGAAATACCTGCAAAAATTCCTGGAATTTCAAGAATTTTAAAGGAATTCCCTAAAAATCATTTCATGCTTTTTTTCTGACCATAGGGTCAGATTCTCGGCGCAGTAATTACCGGTCATGACGGTCATCTGACCGGTAAGTTTTGTCGCCTACATTTAATTACCTAGAGCACACCATAAAGTGAGGCTTGCTGCCTTAAAAATTACTATACCAAACAGGGACATTTCCAGAATTGACTCAAATAATTTTCCATTCGTTTTAAAATTTTCTTTTTCCTCAACTTGTGCCAGGCATTACGCTTATGAAAACCGTTTCAATCAATTAATATAAATTCAAAGACAGAAAGATTAGGTTTCTTCATCGAGACATATTTTATTGTGTACAAAAAATTACAACAAAAGACCAACATCACTATTAACAAATCATTCGTATGCTTTCTATATCATCACTAAATATAAAGTTCGATGCTCCATCAAATTACAAAAATGAAGAAAACTTATTAAATGAAAAATCCATAATTAAGTCAAGAATTCACGTTGTGACCTTCACTTCCTACGCATATGCATATACCAACCACATCAGGCGCGGGCGAAGCGCGCGCCTCCTCGATCGGCCAGTTCAAAATTGATGCAGAATAATTGATATGATGATCAATATGATCATTGATATGATCATTGATATAATGATTGATATGATGATGATTATTGTTTTTTTTATTCATTCCTAAATTAATAAATGATATCACATTGAAGGAAATATTATTCGTGATAAGTCAAAGTCAATGAAGAAAAAGTTGAAGTTCGAGTTGAATCTCGATTTTTCTGCAAAATGTGAGAAGTTTTTCGAATTTAGGAGAAAACTTGAGAAATCTCTCGAATTTTCCAGAAAACTTCATAAAACCTGAGAACATTCGACGAAACGGCGAAAATTTCAAGGAAATATCTGATCATAATAGAAATGAGAACAATTTGTCTAATAACTAGCTTTCTCGAGTTCTCCCGAAAGTTCTAGAATTTTTAATTATCATTGGGTAAATAGATGTTTTTAGTTTCGAAGAATATTTCCTCACTTTCTAGAAAATTCTAGAAACCTCCCAAAAGTAGTGGAAATTTCTAGAACTTTCTGCGTTTCAGCCCTTCAGGGGTGGATTTTCGAGAAAATAAGAAATACGTGTCTTTTTATTTTGAAAGGAGAATCTAACGTGCATTTTCAACTCTCTAACTTGATCGGTTCTCGAAATCTCATAAAAAATTTGGCCCCCTTTTCACCTGCTGAGGGGGTGAATTTCGAAAAACCGTCCCTTAGTGGAAGTTTACGTCATTAAGGGTAGCTGTAGGCAAAAGCTCATGCTCGTAGCTCTTGTAGTTTGGGCTGTGCGTTGATACGTCAGTCGCCTCGAAAATGGCTTCTCCTTTATATATAAGATTTATATAAATATCTATGCATGTATATTTTGGAGCATGCAAGGGAATTGCGGCTGAAAATTTCCAGCCTCCTATGCAATAACATGACCCTCATGTAAATAATACCCATGCTTCCTACTTATGGATACCCATGCTTCCTACTTATGGAATTCTTGAGGTAATTCCATGACTAGTTGATATGAGTTGATCATAAATATTGGTGAACATATGCCTGATGTAATTCCATGGATTTCATTCTTACTGAAGAATGAAATCCATGGAATACATCAAATGATTTGTATGCCTTTTTGAATACATCAAATGATTTGTAAAATATTGGAGATGAAGTGATCAGCGTGTGCTACCCGAAAATCCGAGATCGTTCTGATTGATATTCAAATGTCATAATAAAATACAGACGTGGGCATATTAAGTGGATTGGTGAGTAAACACTCCATATATCACCATCTATTCCAGGAAAAATTTCATATCATTTCGGATACGTAATCACTTATTTCACTGTCCATTTTTATTCATTTGACAGCTTGGTCTCCTCCACCATACGTTATTTTTGTTGCAATCATCGAAGCCAAATCTTGCGAACATGGTTTTGATCATTGTCCAATTTAGTCTCCATTCAGTAGGCATTAGGAACAAATCTATCCTCGGTTCTCGGGTTGAATGCCAAAAGTGCGGAACTCGTTCTCATAAAAAATTCCAAGTCCATAAGGAATTTCAAGTTATAATGAAAACACAATATGCATTATTCCTTATCATCTTTTTTCATATTTTTCCTTTATTCATGTGCCAAAGGACAGTTCTTGATAGTCCCAGAAATGTTCGATTATTACGTGTGTTGAAAGGCTTCTCGATACGCATCAACAGTAAGTGTTCAGTAGTAATACCGTGGTGGCACCAGTTTTGCGAATGGTTAAGGGGCACCCACACGGAGAGAACTTTTTGATAAAAATTATCCTACCGTTCTGTAAAATTGTACCATGAGTCATCGTTTCCTCGTTTCTATCCCGGAATTTAGTAAAAATTAATATGTGATGATCAAATTTTATTCAACCGTTCTAGAATTTTCGTTGTTATCTACATAAAAATTACTGGACTGGAAGGGTAAAATTTATTATGTGTCAGGATAAAATTTCTCTAACGTAGAAGAAAATTTGATCATCATATATTAATTTTTACTAAATTTCGGGATAGAAATGAGGAAACGATGACTCATCATACACTTTTATAGAACGCTAGGGTAACTTTTATCAAAAATTTCTCTCCGTGCACCCATTTATATCAGATTGTCCGGGTTTTTGCCCGGCAGATGTGACATATAATAGCAACTTTTAGAAGTCAATTTGGATGTTTGTCCAATAGAAAGACGCTCGATTTCGATTGAACAAGTTAGGAATTAGATAAATATTCGTAAAAATAAAACATCATATCCCGAACCCAGATTTCGAATGTCCACAAAATCCAAGATCTGACAATTTGGCCCTCGTGACCGTTGTGACCCTTTGACCGACTATCCCCCTGAAAAAATCCAAGATGTGACACTTTCGCCCCCGGTGAAAAATTTTTTTTTCAGTTTTCACTTTTTCCACATACTATTGAGAGTTCTGAATAGCCCGGCGCTTAAATAGTTAGAATCAACGTTCACCCGGCTAAAAAAGTCGATTTTGGCGAAAGTCGACTTTCCCCCTGGAAAAACGGAAAATCTGACTCTTTGAAAATCGGAAAAAAAAACTTTCAGTTTTCACTTTTTCCACATGTGCGGGATTCCAAGCTTGAACAATGGGATCAAGCTTGGTTCAATCTAGGATACCAAGCCTTGGGATTCCTAGCTTTGATCAAGCTTGAACCTGTGGTTATACCTAGGTAAAACCAAGCTTGGTGATATCCTGGGAATGAAAGCTTGGGTGCCAAGGTAGTTCCAATCTTGGTCCAAACTTGGTACTTTAAGCTTGAACTCAGGGGCTTGAACCAAGCTTGAACTTATGGTGATACCTAGGTAAAACCAAGCTTGGGGATATCCTGCGAATCAAAGCTTGGGGGCCAAGGTAGTTTCAATCCTGGTTCAAGCTTGGTACTCCAAGCTTGAACTCAGGGGCTTGAACTAAGCTTGAACCTATGGTGATACCCAGGTAAAACCGAGTTTGATGATATCCTGCGAATCAAATCTTGGGTACCAAGGTAGTCCCAATCATGGTCCAAGCTTGATATTCCGAGCTTGAGCTCAGAGGTTCAACCAAGTTTGGCCTAATATGTTGGGGTCAAGAAGGTGAGGAGGGGGGGTGGGGTAAATAGGATGATAGGGTGAAAGGGAGCGATGAAAAGCATCACTATCAAGCATGCGCAGAAATTATTTTTTTTTATCACGCTATTCCATTTTACCCCACTATCTCACTCACTCACCATTCGATTAACCCGACTATCCCATTTTACCCCTCTCGCCAATTCACCCGCGTATTCCATTTTACCCCACTGTCTGAGTGACCCGCTGTCCTGTTTTACCTCACGGTTCAACATCCCCCCCCCCAACCCATCCTTCCTCCCACAATCCACCTTACTATCGCATTTTGCCCCACCGTCAGATTCATTCTCGGATCTCGTTGTACCGCGCTGTCCAACGAACCCGCTGCCCGATTCACTTCGCCATCCCATTTTACCACATTGTGCATTCAATTCCAATTTCCGTCCCCTCTCCCTCCTCCACTCGTGGTACCCTATATTACACTCAATGTTCACTCCACTCCATTTATCTCTATCTTCCCCCTTTTCTCAAATGCCCTCATCAACCCGAAAATAATTAATTGTTGGACAATTAGTTGCACAGCTCAGAAGCATACCGGGATATCCTCCGATCACTGAGCTAAACAGTAGCGAGTCGGGGCACTACAAGGATGGGTGACTGAGTAGGAACACCGACATCAGATATCTTGAAAATCAATGGACCGATCCATTTTTTTCTTTTTTTCCCATTTTCGTTCTACTAAGTTAATGATGTCACTATTTTCCTTTTTTTTCCAACGATTAATTTATGCAAGATTTAAAAAATTAATCGATATGAAAATGTAATACCAAGCTTGGATTTATTGGCTATCAAATATTGGCCCAAGCTAGATGAATGGCTTGGACCAATCGAAATCACCAGGCTTGGATCAAGCTTGACATCCAAGCTTGGATTAGTATTACAAATCAAGGATTAGCCAAGGTTGGTTCAACCTTGGAATACGAGCTTGAGCCAAGCTAGGCTAGTCTTGGTCCAAGCTTGGTTCAAGCTTGAACCAATGGTCAATTCCCACCTGGGATACTTTTGGGAGTTCTGAATAGCCCGTCGCTTAAATAGTTGGAATCGACGTTCACCGAGCTAAAAAATTCGATTTTGTCGAAAGTCGATTTTCCCCCCTGGGAAAACGGAAAATCTGACCCTTTGAAAATCTGAAAAAAAATTTTTTTTCAGTTTTCACTTTTTCCACATACTTTTGAGAGTTCTGAATAGCCCGGCGCTTAAATAGTTGGAATCGACGTTCACCGGGCTAAAAAATTCGATTTTGGCGAAAGTCGACTTTCCCCCTGGGAAAACGGAAAATCTGACCCTTTGAAAATCTGAAAAAAATTTTTTTTTCAGTTTTCACTTTTTCCACATACTTTTGAGAGTTCTGAATAGCCCGGCGCTTAAATAGTTGGTATCAACGTTCACCCAGCTAAAAAATTCGATTTTGGTGAAAGTCGACATTCCCCCTGGAAAAATCCAAGATCTGACACTTTGGCCCTCGTAACCCTTGTGATCCTTTGACCGACTTGCCCCTTGAAAAAATCCAAGATCTGATACTTTGGCCCCCGGTGAAAAAATTTTGTTTTCAGTTTTCACTTTTTCCACACGAGATCGGAGCGCGTGCTGCGCACGCGCCTTCTCATCTCCTCACGTAGTGGCGCTTTGGTTTCAGTCGTATGCTTACGCATATTCGAGATTTTCGAGATATTTCGAGATCGATTTCTTTTCTCCTTTTTACGATAGGATTTCGAGATCGATTTCCTTTCTCCTTTTTACGATAGGATCAGAATGTTTCATTTTATGATTTTTAGTGGACTGATGATAACTGTTAACTAAAAGCATTTCAAATTTCTTTTCCACAAATTTCTACTGCACATGTGATGAAAAGGTTCATTATAATATAAATATTATGTATGCTTATTCCCAACTTTCGATCCATAAAATTCCGCAATCTTCCAGGTCGCATGCAAATCAGACAATCCAGAAGTTTGGGACATCATCGGGATAATGAATACTTAATTCCGGAGAATGCTTCCTTTCCCTGTAAGATCGCAGTTAATTACAAACATGATGCAGAGTGGGAGAAGAATTTTTCCTTCAGATTCCGCATAGAAAAAGTGTTTCTAGATTTCAGAACCAAGTTGATGAACTTACGAAATGTTTGCATATATTATTATGAGAATTCAAACTAGTCACTTTATTTCAGAAAAAAAATCTTTACAATATCAAAATTTCACTTTACAGTATCAAAAACTTGATTATATCAAGTGAGAAATAGTCGTAAATTAAGAACCATTGTGGATTTTTACATTGAGAACATTCGAAAGGAATGAAATTAATGATGCCGCGAGACACTTTATGAGACAAAACTTTGGAGAGATGATCTTGGTTTCAATGAACATGCAAAACATTGCTCTCCTCTCAGTCTCGAAATACCCAGTATTGATTTCTCTCGTGATGACTCCGAGTCAATTTATCTCATCTCGGTCTCAAGGTTTTCGTATTTTTTTTTTGTAAAATTTTGGTTTTTGTCTCGGTTTGTCTCGTCTCGGTTTTCTACATATAAAAAACGCTAAAAACTGGAAACCGAGATGAAATTGATTGACTCGGAGTCATCACGAGAGGACTCGACACTCCGTATTTTGAGACTGAGACGAGAGCAAAGATTTTCATGTTCATTGAGACCGAGATTATCTCTCGAAGTTTTGTCTCGTGATGTCTCGTGAAATGTCTCGCAGCATCACTAAATCAAATTCTAGAATGATTGAATAGCAACTTAATATTAATTGTGTCAAGTCATCAGATAATATGCTTTTAATCACAAACGATTTATGAATTACTATTTGCAATTGAGTTCGCCACAAAAAGTTTGTGGCTGGTCATCGCCCAAGGATCTTTATCCTGGGCGTAAGTAACATTTCAAGTACAAGATGTAGAAATTACATTAAGTCAGCGATATTTTGAGAGATACTTGAAACATGAGTGAGTCTTCACGAGCCATCACGAGACACTAGGGATGGGTGATGTTTTAAAAAACATCAATTATCGAAAAATTAATGTTTTTTAAAAAAATGAGACTGAGATGAGATAAATTGCCTCGGAGTCATCACGAGAGTGTCGATACTGCATATTTTGAGATTGGGACGAGACCAAAGATTTCCATGTTCATCGAGACCGAGACCATCTCTTCAAAGTAATGTCTCGTGAAGCCTCTCGCGGCATCACTAATCAAGTTTAGAACAGGACAAATCATTAATTTAACCCAAAAGTTCACAATCGAGAAAATATGCCTTAAAGGGGAACAGAATGCCGTTAATTTTTCACATTTTTTAACACATTCCCTGCCAAAAGTTATCGATATTTTTCTAAATAGAAGCGCATTAATCTTCAGGAAATAACGGTGAACATCGATGCCCTTTGGTTTCGAAAAATATTAATAACTATGAGTAGGAAATTTCTTTGAAAATTTCGAGGAAATGGTCGTCTTCTGTTACCCCTTAATTTAAGTATAAGTATTCTGGATGTAGTACAAATTATTGACAATGAGCATTCTGTACTGCAAACTTTCATGAAAAATTTTCTGGGATAAATGAAACTTTCGTTTATTTCAGGATTTTTTTTGCTCCCAAAAATTGTATGATTTTTACTGAATAGTAAAAGATTTTTCCGATGTTCTATGCATTATCACTGTTTCTGTATTTCAGGTGGGCGGTCGAAAATAGTACCAAAATCTATACACAAATTGAGACCAGGCGACATTGATGTGATCGCTGCAATGGGCGACTCACTCACTTCTGGCTTCGGGATTCGTGCTTCAAGTTTTGCCGCTTTATTTGTAGAAAATCGTGGAGGTTCGCCATTTGGAGGTGGACAGGGAACTTGGCGGGATACTCTAACTCTTCCCAACATCATTAAAGTTTGTACTCTCTCAAAATTAAAAAGACTAGCTTTTCAAATAGGCGCCTTCAGTACGAAAATTGAACATTTTCATTAGATTTTCCGGTGAATAAATCTCTGTTGTATACCGATTTAATAGGAATTTAATCCAAACCTGGTTGGATATGCATTGGGAGACGCATGGACCCATAACCCAGCGTCTCAATTTAATGTAGCTGAGAGTGGATCGTTTCCGAGGGATATGCCATTTATGGCTCGAAGCTTGATTAATCGAATAGTGAATGATCCTCGTGTTGATATTAATAAACATTGGAAGGTAAATTAGACATCACGGTAACCCTCCTGAACTAGCGTTCGGTGCCCACCCGAGTCTACTGGCTCGGTGAGCAACGCGCCGCCCGTGTGACGGTTAGCGCGGTGTTGCCACATTGGAGCCCTATACGTGAATAAAAATCTACACTGCACACATTTTTCTCGAATTAAACACCATTTATGCGCTAAAAAAATTAATTCGCGTTTTTTATGAGACGCCAAACATGGCACGTGATAAAGATGTTGAAGTTCCTAGTATGTCTGAACTGAAACGAACGACGTGGCAACAGCGCGGCTAAAAACCGACTACACAAGTCCATTGGCTCCGGGCGGCGAGGCGTCGCTTTTCCGTACCAGTTTTACTAAATTATTATTTTTCAAGGTATTCATGGAGTTTTCAAGGGATACGAATCTTATCAGTCCATTCTAGAGGGTTTGAACTAGGCATTTTAATTTTTACAAATTTTTTCATACATAATTTTGCATGCACCAAGAAAAAAATCGATGGAAGGCGGCGCTGTGCTCATTGAGCCAGTTCAGGAGGGTTAAGGGCGAGAGCTATGTTTCTCCTGAAAAAAATGTCTTTTATTTCACTCCTAATTCAGCTAGAAAATGCTATTCGGTTTCACATGGTTGTTGAAATTCAACAACTGGTTGTTAAATTTCAACCGTGATTCCCCCCGTTTAGGCAACTTAATGCTCGAAACGATTGTGTAGAACTTTATATTATCTATTATTACTAACTTTATATTAGTTCTATTATGAAAACTTATGAGCTGTCAACACAATCTCAGAAAATGGTGAAGTTACAATGTTCAAGCAATTCTTACTGAATGTAACCAATCTATTCACTATTCACCTGCCCGAAAGAGAGATGATAAAATTATTCTAGATTTGTTCTAGATTAATTGTCGGTAAGTAGAAAGGAACTTGAGATCTAGGATTCAAACTCAGTCGTATCCTCAACGGCAGCTGTTCAAGGAATTATGGACAATCATTGATACCTCTGAGTAACTTGATCACAAATAAAATTGATGCTACAGTGCGTCTGTTAAAAACATTGTGGGATTTTGATGATAGGGAGGTCGGGAGGGAAAGTGAAGTGGAATCATTGCCGGAGAATAAATTAAGGATAATCGGGCGAGCTAGGGGGGTTGGAAAAAAAGCAGCCATTTTTTTCTTTTTTTTACGTATTCTTTAAATGATGGAAAAGGCGTGAGCAAAGTTTTCGATTGCTGGGAAGCATGGTTAATTTATTATGAATTTTTGAAAAAGTCATTTAACCCGTGATCTTATGGAAATAACCAAAAAAACTGCAAAACCCAAGGAAAAAAATGCAGCCAAAGTCATGAAACTTTAGACACATTTAGAACACGTGATCAATAATTTTTTGAGTGAAAAAGATTGTCGCCTAGGAGCATTGTTTATTAATAATAGCGAAAAAAGTACTGAAAAATGAAATTTCTGGGCGCGCAGCCCAAACGAGCAGCGAGGTTCCAAGTACCGATCGGGTGGGGATAGCGCGGTCAATTTAAACGTCTCTTGAGAGAGAGGGCGATGAAGCGTTGTGATTGGAGCTCCCTCGAGCCAGTGGTACCAACTCCTGGTGAAAAAAAAACTACCGACAATGTTACCACTTTTTCGCATGGATTAATATTTTTTCATCAGTTATTAAAAAAAAACAATCTGAAAACCATTCAATGTGTGGAACAGATACAAATAAATTTGATTAGCTCGAAAAATAATTTTTAACCGGAGATACTCCCTAATATCGCCTGAAATTTGAATCCGAATGGGAAACATTTTTTTGTTCAGCGATTGGTGTTCTGCAGGAAAACAATAGAAACCCCTCCGCTTCACTTGCTACATTTTCTCCTCGCCCGATTATCCTTAAGATGAGTTTTGTTGATTGTCACTATATTTAAAACTTAGTATACTGAAATATACACTCGATGAATTTCTAATAAATAGTTTATTTACCTACGTGGATTGTACAAACACGGAATATTTAGATAATTGACCGGATAATTTACGACGATGTTCGATAACTTTATCGATGAATTTTCCGACAATTGCGCCGATGTGCGCCCGGATAATTTTCTGTGATTCGTTCCTGATAAGAGTCGATGATGAACTGACCACCGTGGAACACGCTCACGACTACGTGCGTGCTAGTCGATGCTTGAGAATTTTCGTAAGGGACGGGGAAACGAGTTGGCCCAAAATGCAGGCCAGATTTTGAACAGCATCTCTCATCCAAATTAAATTTTTTTTTCAGTGCATAGGATTGCAATGGGATTCCCTGGCCAATCCGACAGGATTTTCTATGAAATTTTCTCATACGTGATAATTAACAATCACGATAATCAATAATCATGATAATTGTTAAATGACAATGTGCTTGAGCTTTCGACAATGAGGAAAACTTCATATGTACAAAAGAATTTTTTTAATTCACAGTTAATTACGTTTTTCATCGGAGCTTTCGATTTTTGTAATGACATATGTTGGGATGATCCACCCAGGGTATCTTTGGACCACCAGAAGGCTGATATAGGTGAAACTCGCCGAATCCTGAAGAAAAATCTACCACGAACTTTAATAACGCTAGTACCTCCCCCACATTTGAAAACACTTGTTGAAACGACGGGAAAATTGAAATTATGTGCTTTGACGACGAATTTCAATTGTCCCTGTTTATTAGGCTTAGCTTGGAGGTATCGAAAGCAAGAAATTTAAGAGACAATGAGAAGGTTTGTCGGTTTCATTCTACCATTCTTGAAATAGACGTAAGCCTTATTAATATCATTTGTCCATCAATAGGTGGCTGTCGATTGATGAAGATATTGGAACTTATTCGGAATTCCAAACTGAAGAATTCCCCGTAGTTGTTCAGCCATTCACTACTGATATCAAACTCCCACGATTAGCGAATGGAATCACGGATTATCGGTATCTTTCGGCCGATTGTTTTCACTTGAGTCCACTTGGAAATGCAAGGAGTAAGTTCTTTTGTGTTAGAATCGGAATCAAAGCCAAGTCAAGAAATATCCAATGGTAACTCTAAATCAAAGGATTAAAAAAAAATCTTCTTGAAATAAAAAAAAACAGAAAAGGCAGCATCGACTCATTGTCAGATTGATATGAGCCCATGAGCCAAGTCGGATTCTGCAATGCAAAACAAAACGAAATCCAGCGAAAAAACAAAAAAGATTTTGTGCCCAATAATGCTAATAGAAATAATCTCAAAAAAATAATTCGAACAGAAATTCAAAATATGTTGGCTTTTACCTATCAAATATGCAATAGAATCGGCGCGAAAAACCACTAGGATTTTCCAATAGAAATCCTATAGAAACCCCATCGAATTCCAATAGAATTTTCTAGTGAATTCGCTCGGTTGTTCATTGAATTTTTTCATGCGTGTGATAAGATTCTGAACAAAGTATCGGGACTTAATGCGGCGGAGTAAATTCCAATTCTATTCTGGTCAGTCAAATCTCGACTAGATCTGCATTGGATCCGATGCTAATGAGAACCTTAGGATCCTAGTGTTTTAATCGAACACGGATCCATACAAGCCCTACTTTTTCGATCCAAAATAGATAATAACAATTCTCAAAATGAGAATTCCTCAAAAGTCATCTCTTATAGGCTATTTCCCCTCCTACAATGACTTATTTAAAAACTGAAAAACCAAAATAAGTCAATTGATAACTTTTTCGTTGGGGGTTATTAATTTTCATTTTTCTACTTTTTAGTTGTTTTATTTCACTCCTTTTCAGTTTTTAAATGAGTCAATTGAAAACTTTTCTGTCGGCGATTTTTAATTTTCAATTTTTCAGTTTTTTTGGTTTTTCAAACTGGATGGTTCAATCTAGTCACCTTTATCGAATCATTTTTTTAATGCCCTTTTTCGAAAAACGGAGTAATTAATAAAAAAAAGGCTTCGTAGTTCGATTCCTCGGAGTGTTTTCATCATTCATAATACAAAAATTCATCTTTTCGAATCGTTTTTCATGTAGTTTCGAAAGTGAAACCTTAATTTTTTATTCGAGCTCACTCATCTTCATCCCGTCTGACCCTCATGACCTTCTTATGCATACGCCATTTGATTCTTACTATCACATGCACAAAGCCCTTCTAAACTCTTGGGTTCCCAGAAGCTTATCCTTATGCGATTATCGACAGATGCCCCACTTTGGCCCCGAAATCATGATTTTTCGAGTGATTTCTTGACATCAAGAAATCATCAGAATCTACTATAGATCATGGAAATCACGAAAAATCGAAAGAAATCATGGTTTCCAGTTCTTATTGAGAAAGTACAGAAATCATTCAAGAAATCACAGGAAATCATCCCATTCGGGAAATCATTGAGCCACAGGATTGAGGAGTGACCAGCCCCTCGATGTAAACGCCTTACCTTATTCTCTTGGATTTAATTTGAATACCTTGATTTAACGATTTTTAACATTACCATTGCCTCATGGCGTATCCCAAACTGAGTTTCCATAATATTATGAGTTGTCTCAAAGAAGTTTAATTTCATGCAGTCGCTTGGGCCACCATAATTTCGTAAAAACATTGATTTTTAGTTTCACGGAGATTGTTTCTGAATTTTCTCCATTCCTTGACTTGATGATTATACCTTTCCAGCTGCCTTTTCCCTTGGGACGAGCCGGTCTATGACGTTGGACATTTTGCGTGCCCTACGATGGAAAGACCGTATATTGGCACTTTGTATAACAGCTATGATAGTTGGAAAAATTCTTCACATTGTACGTTAAGCAACAACTGTTGATTGGATTTTCAAATTATTGCTATGAATATGGACACATAGGAATTGACTGAATATATAGAACATTTACAAAAATGACGGTAGTTGTATATCTGACTTCATTTTTTGGTCACTTAAGATTGCTTGAAACACAAAATAGTTATATATTTCTCCTGAATTTTCGAGTATTTCATTCTCTGTAGTACGTTTGGAATTCCAGTCTTGTTTGAGACGATTGGACAATGGTAATTTCCGCATGTGGGAAATAACCATTACTCGATATACACCCTTATGTTCAACAGTCAATGTAAGTATCATGTTATCATCTACACGTGTACAAAAAAAGCTTTGACATTTGGAGACTGCGCATTTCACTCTTCTGTCCTGTCTCGCCCTCTGAATAATTTCAATTACCTACGTATATACAATATTCTTAATCGCATTTTCATATCCATTGCCAGGTATCAATGAAATTAAAATTCCAAATCAGTTTCTGAAGAATATCAAAACCTTTTCTGTAGTGTTCATTCCATAGCTCACACATTCATCAAATTCAATCATATTTTTATCAGAATCTTATTTGGAAAGTTGTCTTGTTCTACTCTTCACAACGTGATTGTGAGAGGTTTTTTTTCGTTTTCGTTCTTGACCATAACTTCATAACTATATTATCACATCGATGCATATTGATTACCCTCGAGAGAAAAAACAAATTTCTGGAACCAAAAAAATTCTTACCACAATCCTTTTCTCCATTGCTACAAGAAAAAATTGGGCATTGGTGTAAAGAGGAAGATTCTTGTGACGTGAATGAGCGATATCGCGAATTCATTAACCCGTTTCATTCAAGTTTATGAGTGATATTTTCATCCGGAAATTGTTTAGACCGAAAAAAAAATATCCTTTCTGGAAATTTCTGATGGTCTAAAGCAGCTTGAGATCCAATACTGGTGTTACGTCATGATTTCCCAGGAAAAATATTCAATTATAATTTTAATAATCTAATAAATTCTGGAAAATTATGACAGTTATTTTCTCCTATGTTGAGCCTACCTTTCGGTAATAGCTCGGGATTGGAGTCGAGTGAATTGTTAGAATAATAGAGGATAAAAATTCACAATAAATGAAGTCAATATTTATTTAAATTATATTCAAATTTTAACGAAATCAAATTCTTTGAATTGAACAATTTACAAATGGATTAATTTTCACCAATTTTGAATATAAATTGTCATACAATATAAAATTTTTCCCTCGAATCAACGCGAAAATTTACATCAAGAATTGAAACTTTTTTTTATATTGAGTTCCCCGAACTAAAATTCTCAAATATTCAATAATTATTGATTTTTTTTTTTGAATTTTTGAAACCGTTTAACTTTTCACCATGTCATTTCCCGATTTAAATCAAATTTATTATTTATTTTGTTTTACTCATCCATTTTTTTGTAGTTTCTTGAAGTAATCCAATATTCGGTTGGTTAGATTTCACAATAATTTCACGTAAAAAAAATTTACAATTTTTCGGAACGGAAGTTCACACCTTAATTATAGTTTTTATTTCTATTTCCGAACCGATTTTGCTCATTTTCATTCACTTAGCGACTAATTGATCACTCGTCATTTTTGGGAACTGAAAAATGTGATCGGCGGATCAATAAGGTTATGAAGTTTTTTGAGTTGAAGTTTCCTATGTTCTTTTTAGTCGAACATAGGTGTGTTGTAGACTCTATTTGGTGCTCACTTGGCCAAAGCCACTGTCGTCTCTCCTGATTTCATTCCATCAAATTTACATTTTCAATGCTATTTATATCGTGGATTCTTCGGCTATATTCGAAATTTTTTTCAACAAAATTTCAGCCAACGGCCATATCACGCTGAAAACGCCAGTTCTCGTCCGATCACTGAAGCTAAGCAGCGTTGAGCGTGGTTAGTACTTGGATGGGTGACCGCTTGGGAACACCACGTGCCGTTGGCCCTTTCTTTTAAAATTTTATTTTTTTAGAAGTGCTAATAGGTAATAATATATCACTGATAAGCAATTAAATTTTACTAATTTTCATTAATTTGGCGACCACCCGAGTGCTAATTTCACTCAGGTTGTCTGGGTATAAATCAGTTTTAGATGCAATACTGGTCAGGATTTTCGAATCAGAACTCTCAGATAAGGACCTGGTCAGTTTCTGAATAAATTATCTGGATCCGGTATGGCTCAGTTACTTCTGATAGGATCAGTCAAATCTGGAAAAAATAGACTTCACATTCTTGGTCCAGTTCGGATATTCCGAAACGTTAGACCTCAATCGTGATAGGGTATGGTAGGAAATTCTTGATCAGTTGAAGATCCAGCCTAACGGATCTGAGCCTTCTTTGGAATTCTGAACTCTTCCTGCTCTGGTTCGAATTTAAAGTACCTTAAACGGCTATACACATATCTCACATTTCAAAAAGTCTGTAACCGAATCCTTTTTTTCGGGGTTCTCACCGGGCTATACAGAATACATTCTTCGCAGTTTCAATGATAGAGGAGAAATTGTTACGATCATCAGTGAGTAACTAGTGCACGAATCATGGGTGACAAAGTAGACCCAAATTAGTGGTAAATCACAGTTAGCCTGGCCAATTCATTTATTTCACGTCTAGTATTTAAAACCATCTTTATAATGATTTCGTAATGATTGGCATAATAACATTAGAATTCGAATATCTTCAAAGGTACTATGTACTCCTTTGATGCAAAAACATATAAGCTGTGGGTTTTTGAATGGAGTATTGTTGTGGTCCTTTCTTATTATTATATCCATCAGGTTGTTTTAAAATTAAATTTAATGGATGAAAGGTATTCCTTCTTCAACTCCTTCGTACCTTCTTACAACAATAAATGAAATTAATTTCATATGGCAATAACTTCATTTTTTGAAGAATTAAAATTCTTTTCTTTCAATGAGGTAAGCAAGTTCTTAAAGGCACCAACAGATCCCTGGTGAAGAATTCAATCCTCACCAATTCTTGGCGTAACCCAGGACTCACGATGAGGACGTAGTTGGTGGAGAGCCCCAAAAGGAAAATATATAAAAAATTTATTAATTACGTATATTCGAATTTAATCGATGGCCTATGGTATTGGTGTACCATTGTTTACCAAACGATTTACAATCACCATCTGCTTTCAGAATTTATTAATGTTAATATGTTCTTGCTAACTACCATTTAAACAAATTAGTACAGGTTACCATGAGGAGCAACGGTGAAATTCTAGATTTTCGTGATTTTCTAGATTTTCTAGATTGGAGTGCCTTTCTAACCAAATCTGGAAATGTCTATACTCTCTATTTTCATTTCCGAACCCATTTTGCTCATTTTCATTCACTTTGTGACTAATTGATCACTCGTCATTTTTGGGAACTGGAAAATTTGATTCCCGGATCGATAAGTTTATGGAGTTTGAAAAGCTCTTTTTAGCGGTACATAGGAGTATGGTAGACTCTATTTGGTGTTCACTTGCCCAAAGACACTGTTGGTATCTCCTGATTTCACTTCATGAAATTTACATTATTTTCAACGGCATTTAGTTCTTCATATCTATTTTTGATTAGATCGTGGATTCTTAGGCTATATTCGAATTTTTTGCCAACAAAACTTCAGCCAACGGCCATATCACGCTGAAAACGCCAGTTCTCGTCACAGTCCTGTTTTAACGCTCGAAGAGTGTGGACGTTCCAGCTCCGTACAGAAGCCACAAAACATCGACTACAATTCGCAAATAAAACCAGTGTAATTCGTAAAACAAGATCAAAATCTTTAAACAAAGTGAGTGGCGAAAGCCAGCCAAAAATTGATAATAGTTCCGCAGAAGTGGAAAACAATAAAGAAAATGCCAGTGCCATGGATACAGAAGCACCAATCTTAAGCACGAGAGAGATAAGTCGGCTTGAGACCAAATCCAGGAGCACCCAGCACCTACATGAATTAATCCGAAAGGAGAAAGAAAAGAAGAGAAAAAGAAATGAGCAATACTCAAGAAACATAGAGGCAAATACATCAGACAGCAGTTTAAACACCTCTGGAGACGGAGGCGAGAAGCAAGCCAAACGCAAAAATCAAAGCCCCACACCAACACCAATGGCGCCATCGGATAAGCATCGAGTGCACCAATTGGAGATAACAGTTGGGGATTTAAAATTCAAGTATGATCACATTAAAAAAGAGTATGAATCTCTTCTACGAGAAAATCAGCAATTGAAAGAGCAGTTGAAAACATCACCACAGAAAAACGAAGAAAAAACAGAGTCAGCACGTGCAAGTCAACCGAGATGCATCCGGGGGACCAACACAGGTAGACCAACAGCACACACAGATGGACACCGAGGCCAGTGACATCGTGAGCCAAACACATCCATGCAAACGACAGAGAGGCGGCCAAACAACACACCCGCTTCAATGTCACTACAGAGACGACGACAACACACCGAAAACAGAAAATACCTCCGATTAATATCTCAGGTAAAAATGTAAAAGAAACCATCAAAACAATCTCTCAGGATTTAAATATCAAAGATTTCAAAATTAAGACCCTCAATAGCTTTGGTAAACACCTAGTTTAGGCAGACAGCATTGAAAATCATAAAAAAATCCGAAATGCATTAAAAGAGAAGAATATCGATCATTTCACATTTACTCTAGAAGAGAATAAAAATCAAACATTTCTCTTGAAAAGGATAGATAGTAGTTATACCCCAGATGAAATTTTGATTGACTTGAAAAGCCAAGAAAGTACAAATCTCGAGTTCATGAAAGTCACAAAATTCTCGACCCCTAAATCAAGGAAAAATAAGATAGATCTACCAATCTACATCATACAAATTACACCACAAAGTCTACCAGGCAAATTGAAAGACATAAGATATGTCCTACACCAGAAAATTGAATTTGAGAAAATGAAAAAAAGAGATCCATTGCAATGTAAAAATTGTCAACGGCTAGGCCACGCAGCATCAAATTGCAATATGCAATATCGCTGCGTTAAATGTAAAGACCCCCATTTGCCAGGACAATGTAAAATCAACTCAGATACAGAAACTCTTAAAGAGAATTTATAT